TTCAAAAAAAAAAAAAAAAAAAAAAAACCTTACTCTAACGACCAAGTAACCTATATATGTTCATCAAGTTTCAAGTCACAACATCAAAGATTAATGATGGTTGCATCCTCAGAGAAAGATAAGAGTGACGACAAAGTTGATGATACTCCTTACGCTAAACAAACACAAACTAAATAAAATTAATCAAAGGCAACATTATTTATTTGATGAAGAGAATCAAAAGAGAACACTTACCAACATCTGTTTTCTGTATACTTTACAATTTACTAACAAAAGTATATTTCAGCAACATCTTATACAACTAATGAAAAAGGTTAAAAAGGTTGGAAAAATTAAACTAAGAGAGTTTTCATTTACACCACAAACGTTGAATCACTTCATCTACCAGATTAAGATACATCAAACACTTCAAATTCACACTTCTCTTGTTCAAAACCCCCAAGTGCACTTCACCTCTCAGTTTAGCTCCGACCTTGAGGATAACCAACCCTCTCTTTACATCGTTCTTGAACCAAACAGATGGTGCCTGATCCTCTCTATAACTCACTTGTGTCCTAGCCTTTGTTTTTACAGCACTGTATGAACCCACTCGTTGTCCATTAATCTTCATTTCACCAACAACACGACCGTTGTACAAGATATCTCCTGTACCAGTTGGAAACTCAAAGAAGCCGAAGTTTGGATTCTCAATTCTGATCTCCATAGCTAGTGTTGCGTTGAAATAAGGTGATGATGATGATGCTGTATCATTGTACTTGAGGGTTGTTACAGCCACAGATGTTAAGCGTGCTTCAAGTGGCTTAGCTAGGACAAAGAAACCGATGATGATGAAGAGGCTGAGCAAAATGCAAAGCCCTAGAAGGGTGTAGATGATGATGTTACCAGTGATATCACTCTGTTTTGGCTGTTGAACTGCATCTTTGCTCTTGGCATACATTCTTCCTCGAGATGGTTCAGTTACTAGATGATGAAAAGAATGGGAAGACTACTAATTATATATACCGTTAAGAGAAACTAGATGACATCAATGAACAAAACAAATTCAAAAAAAAGAAATGTTTTTAATGTGTGGGAAATGGAAGGAATGAATAGGTTCTTGATCAGCATGACATTGGAAGATGATGTGTGGTTTCCTAAACAAGTAAGAGATGCTTAAAAGAACCTTTTAAAGCTTTGTTTCATCTTAAAGACTTTAAACTCTTTATGTTTTGTTTACACGGCCTGGTGCCAAGGAAAGGTATCAAAGAAAGCTTTGCAACTAACAAACTTTTATAAAAGAAACCAAAAGACAAGAATGTAGCAATGTGAACACTCAATTCTACTCCTAATGTATCTTGAGAACTGAGCAATCGAACATTCTATGAATTACCGAAAGACTAAAGAATCTAAATATTCTCCTTTTTCAAAACCTGGAGCAAAGGAAAGGTATCTGGCACAGTTCTAACTTTCAACTCAACGATGCTGAAACAACAATATCCTTTTATTGAAGAACCAAAAACTGTATTTTGAGAAATGAAAAACATATGTTTTATTGGTTTAACAAAAAAGGATTTCAAATATTCTGATGCGCTCAGAATAAGAATTGCTGTTTTATAAGTGGGAAAAGTGAAAAAAAGAGAGAAACAACAACAACAACAGGAAGGAAAGTTCCTTCAGCTACGACCTGCTAACGTAAAACATACTTACAAGGAAAACATATGCTTGAAACTAATCGCTCTAGGAAGTTTATTAACTCTTGTTGTAACATGCCATCCAATTTGAATCCTCAGAACATATCAGACCACCACCACCATCAGTACTTATTGACTCTGCAGCAGAGCATGGAAGCAGTTCTCTTCCTTTTCCTGCAGGAGCATCACCATTAACTAAACCTCTCTGAAACTGTGAGAGATCAATGGAACCAGAAGATGTGGCCAAAGAGTCAAAGTTGAAACTTGAACTGCTTGGTTTCTGTGGTGAGGCATGGCTCCTTGGAGACAATCTGACTGACTGAAGAGTACTTGTTAGTGATTCCAAATCTGAACCAACCTCAAGTTTCTTTTTGAATTCACCTTGGGAACACAAGAGTCCCAAGTAACTGTCGAAGCTTGAGTTGGATTCTGGTGTTTGAATCACATTCTCGCTTCCCAGTGTATCAATAGATAAGGGAGACTGTTTGTCACCTCCCAAATGCTCAGAAGGATCCTCTAGCTCACACTTAGGGGATGGAAGCTGCATAAATCTCCTGAAACGAGAAAGCTCATTTGGAGAAAGAGAGGAACTAATCCTTCTCATCGTCTCTTTACATGTCTTCATAGGTGAAAGACTTCTTCCACCGCTAATGTTGCATAAATCAGAAGCAGTACTACCATCTGATAGTGGCGACAGACTCTCATGGCCTACACACTCAACAATCTCCTGAAACTGAGAGAAACCATCATCATCATACTTTTCCTTCTCCTCATCACATGGAGATAAACGCCAGTGCACTGACGCATCAGCAGGCAAAGGAATCATAGAGACGTTATCATAACTTCCACCAACAACACCAAAACCTCCTTCATCAAATTCATCAGAATCATTCAGTATCTTACCCTTACCAACCTCAAAACCATTCTCACACACAGTGAGTATCCCTTTCGGCTTACATTTCCTTTTATCACTAACACCAGAGAGTAAATGCCCAGCAGCATAACAAGCTTGTGACTGAGCTGATGCTGACAAACTCATAGACGTCCCACAATGCATCTCTGGAGATACTGATGCTTGCACAGGTGGTGTCTTCTCTCGACAACTACTACTACTACTATTGCTTACTCCACCATCATCCTTACCTTCATCACCGTTACTTCTATAAACCAAATCACATCCTGTTCCTAGTTTAGAGACAGGAGTACCAACACTGTCATCTACTCTAACCGTATCTTTAAGCTTAACCTCTCTAGAAACAGAGGATTGCTTCTTCAAAACCGAACCTTTAATCTTACCACTAGCGACTCTCTTTCCAAAAGTAGGGTTTGTTCTACACCTCTGAGGCTTCTCAGTAACAGTAGACTTCAGCTTAGTCTCCTCCAGAGACTTTGGTTTCTTTCTAATTAAGGGTTTACTCAAAATAGGAGCAGACTTAGGGGTTTTAGCAGCTACTGATCTAACACTATGAGGATTCACTCCCAACGAAGAAGAAGACGATGAGAGCAAGAACCTGTGACTACCGGAACCACTGCCATTGCTACAACTACTGCTTCCAGAGCTTCTTGTAGTGAATCCTCTCAATGGATTCGCCGGAAGTTTCTCCCTTTTAAGCTTCTTCTCCTTCTTTTCCGGCGGCTGCGGCTGAGAGAGCTTCTTCGTTTGTGCGTTTGATGAAGACGTCTCCCGGTTCATTTCCCCGGAACATTCGACAAAACAACCTTAAAATTGAAACAGAGGAGAGGTTCTGTCTCAGTTTCAGATTTCAGAGTTTCCGATCTGATTTTAATTCAAAAACAGAGGAGGCGGAGAAATGAATAAAGGTTGAAACTTTGACGGAGAGACTTGCTTTTGTTGTCCTTTTCTTAATTACCGTTGTACCCTCAGCTTTAACGTCGTGCTAATGTAATGCTAGTAAGGGTAAATCGGTCAGTTCAATAAAGAAGAATACTTTCTCCACGATTCCGCCATTTAACGGCTAATCGCCACCGTAAAGATTTATTCTTTTTGGAGAGAGAGAGAGAGATGGGAAGAAGTGGAAGAACGATGAAATGTGTTTTACTCGACGAATCTGTGCTTTTCAATCACGACGATGATGATGATTCGACGCTGGGAGTTCGAGCATCAGTCACGTCTCTCCTTAGGATGTTTCGTTACTCCATGATCCGAACGGTAATAACGACTTGATTGAAAAGAGATAAACGCATTGCATGCAGAGTTTTTTTTGTCGTTTTGGTTAAACTCTAAAGTGATGAGATGAGGAAATGATTGAACTTTAGATTCGAAATTGTAGTTTCAGACATTGATTCTTTTGTTCTTCTTCTTCCACTACTGTAATGAAATTTGGATTTTTCTTTTTGTCGTTTTGCTGTCTCGCAGGGGATAGCTTATGGTCTTGATCTTGCGGAAAACAAGGTTTGGAGATGAGTTCACGAAACGTGATGACTTGTTTAACTGTTTTTGACATTGTGGTGTGAGGTTGATTGGTCTTTACTATCTTATAGGTGGAGTTACTAAGGAAAACGGCGGTGGAATATTCCATAGATTGCTTACCTTTGGAGACGTCTCTGACAAGTGTTGCTTTTGGTGATGCTCTCAAAGCATGGTATAGTGATGGCGACATTCTTTATGTTGCTTCAACTAGGAAAGAAGAGACACTGCGTGAACTAAGTCCCAGCCAGCTAGTTGTTGTACTTGGTTAGTGATGAAGATCATCTCTCTAGTCCCATGAGAGTTAACATTATATGGTTTAACAGTTTACTATGCAAATGTTTTAAAAGATGCTTCCTTAGTACAAGTTTGAACTCTCATCACAAGTTTTATGGACATGATTGGGTTTCTATATGTTGTAGAAGGCGATTCATGTGAGGATCCTAACATGCTTCGTATCAGTAGACTCGAAGAGCTTCCACTGACTATTTGCTGCATGAACAAAAAGGTATGTCTTGACGTTCATGTTGGCTCAAACTAGTAACCGCCTCAAGTTGAAAAGCTGATTTACTTGAAGAGAGTACTCATTCTAGGGCAGATCTAAATTTACTAGATAATGTTGCTGAGTTGCTTGATATCACACCTTCATATTCTTCCTTTCTCCATTTAATTTGGTTTATATAATTTGCCCTTTTGATGTTACCTCTCAAAAACAGGCAATGGGTGATGGTGGTGCAATAGTTGCTTACATCATGAAGCCATCTCGCGTAGACGACTTTGCCAAGGTAATAACCATATTTAAACTTCAACTTTCAAACATTAGGTAATAGTTATCAATGCTTACTTGCTGGCTCACTGTATACTGATTATATTCATGCTTTCCCCTCTAGGTCGTTATTGATTCATGATAGTAATATGGTGTTTATATGTGATGTTCACAGTGTTAATTTTTTCTTGATTTTATTTAGAGAGGTGCTTTACCCATGTATCCTACTTCAAATGGGCTGATATTTCTACCCCTCATGTTTGAGTTCCCTCTTTCATCTCAACTCAAACACGCTGACATCATTTTCCACAAAGCAACTGATGAAATCTTGTCCATTCAACTCAACTGCTCCGACTCAAAATCATCTGTTGCAGTTACATTTTCTACCGGCATGGAGGAACTGCGAAAGTAAGCTTCTCGATTCTTTGATTTATATCTACCACTGGGTTGTATCAGCAACTGGCCGATAGGTTTCACAAATATGAGAAACCTTGTTTCGAAGCTCTCTCTGTACAGGCTTGCATAATATTATAAGTTACTTGTAGGTATATGGAAGATCAAAATGCTTGTGCTGTAATTGACCTGATCCAACATATATATCCTGTCTTGGACCGACTCAAGATGCAACACATTCTTCTTGGATTAGAGGAAATTACTGCACAAGGACGAAAGATAAGAGGCGCCTGCTTCCTCAAGGTCTTAGAATCCTCCTTTTCACAGTAATGCTTTACTTTTTACCTTTGCAAGTTAATAATATTAGAGTTCCTTATCTGCAGATTGACAGTTATGATGAACCGGATCTGGCTCAAAAATTGTCAAGAGCTGGACTCTCTCTTCCATGTATTGTGAAACCTCAGGTTGCCTGTGGTGTTGCTGATGCTCACAGCATGGTGAATATATTTCATAATTTCCTTCTCGTTTTGGTCTTTTAGAGCCAAACAATATCCTCATCTTCATGTGTTTCTCTTCAGGCCATTGTCTTCCGAGTTGAGGACTTCAAGGATTTGAACACTCCTGTTCCTGCCATTATTCAAGTAAGTCACAACATAACCTGGATACCCAATTGTAGAAGA